ATGAAGATTTGTTTTTCTGTTTCATACACCCACAAAAAATTTGCAAACTGAAGGTAACAATTCAATTTCGTTTGATAAAAAGGTAGGAGAGATTAACTCCGACGTTCAGAACAATGTTCTGCTTGCTTCCTATGTACCAAAAAGAACCGTGTTTCTGGTACATGATCCACCGGGTCACGTGCAATGCCATTTGTTATTAGGCGATCTCTTTTCTGGGTACCCGGGTACCCGATGTTATTAAAAAACGGGTACCCGGTTCTAAAAATACCCGCAAATGCACACCCCTAACATGATATGAATGAGACAAGCCAGAACCGAGCAGTTCTCAGAGAGCGAAAGAGTGCATACTCTCCTGGAGAAGCATGGATGATTTCAAGTATAATCTAGCCATGAATGTATACATGACTGAGCATAAACAACACTAGGTCTAACCAACACCATTGACTCAATGCACACTTTTTTCAGCCTCAATGCTCCAAAATCCTCCCAAACCTCCTGGAGGATTTCGGAGATTGAAGGGTTGGGGTTAGAACACTATTGTGTTTTATCTCACATCATCTAAAGGGAACGCAATGTCCATGTTCATGCTATAAAGGTTCCCATACACACGTATGGTGTACACCTTCAAGTTTCCTTCAAAAGCTAGCAGGGAATTTTGGTAAAACTTGAGTTCCATTGCCACTGTGTAACTCCCTCAGAGTGTATCACTGTTTGTGCTTCCCACTGAACACCCTTACCCCAAAAAGAGAGTGGTATTTTTGCCAATCTCACAGCTGGGGGGCACTCGATTTTATTGAAACTTCAAGTTTAAGGCTACATATGTGCCAGAGCACTGCAGTGGAAAAGTATGTACTGTTGGCTGGCCCATCTCCAAAAAATGCATGCTGCCCATGAACGGTGTGTTTGTTTTTTGCAAGATTGGTGTCAAAATGACAGCAAAGAGTTACTCTAAAAACTCCTAGAGGCTCAACTCTTGAAAACAAATGTACTGCGCCGATATTGGAAAAAATGTCGAGGGGACAGATCCAACCCCCCCCCCAGCTCGTTTACGAATAAAAAATAAGAGACCTATATATGTGACCGGCTCCACAAAATGGGTATTATGGGAAATTTTTTCAAATGAGTGACATACACATTTGAATTGGTTACATTATAAGCTTTAATTTGGTGTAGGTTTGAACCGTGTGGCATTTTGAAATCTGGAGATATATTGATTTTCAATCATATCATACACATTAACAGAATTGCTTTCAAAAATAAAGCCCCTTAATTAAACACAGGAAGTGGAAAAAGAAATCAGCCACGAAGAAAGTCTCTTACAACCCATAGCAATAGTTAGGTTTCTGGTATGAATTGTGAAAGTACTGATATAATAGAAGCCAATAAACCAGGAAGTAAAAAATAACCCTGTCCGCATAAAAAAGCCCTTAGTGTGAAATAGCACAGTGTCCTTCAATACCCATTTTCACAGCGCGGGTCACATTATGTGAACATATCATCGCCCCAATATGTCACTACTCACCCCAGACGGTGCACCGTGTCTTCTCCCTTCATCTTTCTGGGTCTCCTACCACCACCAAAGCCGCCCCCAAACATCCCACCCCCAAAGAAATGGGAAAAAATGTCGTCGAATCCTGCAAGGGAATAAGCATGCAATGAAAATTACTCAGACTTCTGGATTTATTTACTTCATAACAGCATACATACATACACTGCACATACTGATCAGTTAGAGAAAGTGGTTCTTACATGTGTAAGAACATGGCTAACACAAATTTCATGACCTTAAATTCACACATAGCAACTACAGCGGCAATTTGACTTCCTGCTTCTATCTTCCAACATTACGTACAGACTTCAAGAATCAAATTAGAGATTAATTTGGCTGAACAATATTCATCGGCTAAATTTAAATGTGAATGTTAAGTGTTTATTAGTTGGAGTGTTCATATTTCACCACTACTACGTTCAATTTTGACATGTTCCAAACAGTGTCTCATTCGAGTCCTTTACAAGTCCTTTCGCAATTCCAGTCATAAGTCCTTTCACAAGG